GCCCCCACGGGATCCATCCCGGGAGTGAGCTTGGAGCGTTGACTACTTTGCAACACACACAGGGACCATGGGGAACAGACGTAGCCGCCCCCTCCAGAAGGAAGGACAGTGTCAGCACCAATTCAGACCCCCTTCAGACCGGGGCGGTTCGACCGCACGGATCCACCAACATGAACGATCCCATACATTGCTATGGGCACTGTTCATGCGACCGCTTGGGTCCGCGCGATCCGAACCGCCCCCCTCCCTGCACTATTTTTGCCGCGCTGGTCAGTGCAGTTTCCATACAGGCTTCAATGGAACCGCGCTGATAGGTGCGGTTTTGGGTCATTTTTGATTGTGTTTCAGCGCCGAAATGCAATTAAAAACTCCCCAAACCTCCCTTTTGAGATCAGCGCGGTAACCGCGCTGATCCGCAAACCGCCCTGGTGTGAATGGGCTCTCAGAGATGATTTGAGGATCTGCAGCCGAGTGATACAGAAATAAGACACATTGAGGGGAATTTATCAAAACTGGAGCAGCTGTGCACGGCAACCAATCAGCTTCCACCTTTCATGTTCAAAGCTTAACTGAACAAACTGAAGAGAGAAGCGATTGGTTGCCATAGGCAGCTGCTCCAGATACTGTCTGCTCCAGTTTTGATCATTCCCCCCTTCCCCCCACCTCCCATTATTGTTAATAGTTAAGATACGTGAATGTATTTTTAAGATTTTGTTCTAAGGACTGGAGGAGATTGATTTACATTTTGCACCGTACCTTTAAATCCGCATCTAAAGGTTCCTTTAAAGCAATCCGGCGCGTTTCGTGTATAAAGCGTAAAGTGCGGCGACTGGGTTCAAAGTGCAGTAACCTTAGCAACCAATCCGATTTCCATTTGCTGCAGTCAAATGGGAAAAAGGGAGCAATCCTATTGGCTGCGATGGCTTAGTGCATTGTGCTCACAGTAACTGCACATTGTGGCATTTAAAAGGGTGGTCAGATTTTTTTAAAGGTTTTCATTTATGTGTCTGGCTGGGACAGACATATACCTGTAACAAATGACCCCCCCGGGCCCAAATATCCCACCCCATGTACACAACAAGCTTACAATTGACATGTATACATTACAGGCAATGTAATAGCTGCATCTCCCCTCCGATATCCGACGTCAGTAAGCATCCCTGATCTGAGGCAGCTTAAACCGCGCCAGTTTGTGCCACCTCTGCCGGGACATTTACCCCACAGATGGCAGCAACTTCAGACACAAGAATCAGCACATATGCTCATCAATTTTCTGCATATATTAGGAAGGAAAATGAATTTGGTGGAGGAATTTGTAGTGACGGCTTTTGTGAGCTGTTCCTTGCCCAGTGTGCCAGCCTTCAGATCATGCAGAATCAGGAGTATCTGTGCAAACATAGGCCCAACAAGCAAACCTCCTTCTGTTCCCTGCCAGGCCAGCTCACCCAAAATCCTGAGATTTCCTAAAATTCTGGCCATGCCATTCTTCCCTCATGTCCCACCACCGTGCAACCATCCCCTGTGCCCCATCACTTGGCTCAACTCTTACATGGCCCAGCACATTGCCATCTCTCCTGGGCCCAACAACCCCTGCCATCCTCCCCCATGCCCTTAATTCTGCCATCCTCCCCCATGCTCTTCATTCTGCCATCCTCCCCATGCCCCCAAACCTCCCCCATGTCCTGTCACTGCAATCCTCCCCCATGTGCAAGCACAGTGTCATCCTCCCCAAGCACCTTACCATCTATCTCCTGCCCCAGGGCCCTGACATCCTCCCCTGCACCCCAGCACCCTTCCCTGTGTCACAACCCTCTGTCATCCTTCTCCATCAAAGCTTGCTACACTCCCCCCATACCCCTACCATCCTCTCCATTACTCCTGCCTAACCCTTCCCACCCTACCATCTTCACCTGTCATCCCCTATATCCCTAGCACCCCACCTGCAGCTGTTATCCCCCTAGCCCCCCTTCTGTCATACCCCTGCTCCCCTCCCCCAGACCTCTGCCATCTCCCAGATTTCTCATACCCCTGTCATTCCCCATACTCCTGTGATCCACCAATACCCCTATTATCCCCCTATTCCCCTGTGATCCCCTATACCCCTCATATCACCCTATAATCTCCCTATACCCCTGTGATTCCCCTATACCAAGTGATCCTCCATTGCCCTATACTCTGTAATCTCCCCATACCCCCAAGATTCCCTGATACCCCTGAGTTCCCACTCCCCATACTCTTGTAATCCCCCCCATACTCCTGTGACCCCAAAAACACATGCGATCACCC